ATTAGTAACAAGTGCATCGCTAGTAGTAACAGGTGCCTTACTAGTAGTAACAAAGAAGCTAGTAGTAACAAGTGCATCGCTAGTAGTAACAGGTGCCTTACTAGTAGTAACAAGAAAGCTAGTAGAAACAAGAAGCTAGTAGTAACAAGTGCATCGCTAGTAGTAACAGGTGCCTTACTAGTAGAAACAAGAAGCTATTAGTCGGATAGGTGTGGATTATAAGAGACTCCTGGGAAGAGGGCCGGGAGGGCGACAAAAAGGATATTGATTGGGGGCTTGGGTCAGTTTGTTCATAGGCATCCAATGACACGACATAGAATCATATCGACGAACAATATATATCTCCGAGATGCTATAGACGCTAATGTTTGTTTTGAGTGACTCAAGGTGCTGAAAACACAGTTATTGAGATAGCCGTGGTGATGATCCCCTTCAGTTTGTGTGAAGATTGCAATGCGGCCGAAGGGGATCATCTCTGAACTGCGTGAAGTTAATGTATTCAGGCAAGGACTGGGGATAGGCCATCTATATAGTGCTTTGGAAGTTGGCGAACTGAGTGATTTGAAAGAAGCCTGAGAGGCATGTTGGAGGATCCTACCCCTCAAAATCAAGACAATAGCTACGCTTGGGAAACAGCGGGGTGTGTATCCATACTTTTGCGGGATACTGGGCCATTTGATGACACAATTTTATCTGCGATGTGCACAATCTATGAGCGTGCGCTGCATCCCCTTTGATCAGGAAGTAGACCATGGGGTCTGTACTAGTTACCAGAATATATAGGGTGACCTATTTTCTTTGACCTGGCGGTTGATCTCGGGGTTATCCTATCCCAATACACCCCGAGGCGATCCCCAGTGCCGCAGCCGTGGCCCTTTGCGGTACCGCCCTGGCGGCGCTCGGCCGGAAGGCGGGGGGTCACACCCTGGTGGCGGAGACCTCGGAGATGTGTCTTTGTTGATTGCTCGCTTCGTGCATTTCAGTGCTTGGCCGCTTGGCTATGCTTGCCTTCATTGGCGTTTTGCTTGCTTGTTTGCTTGCTTGCTTGTTTGTTTGTTGGTTGGTTCGTCGGTTCGTTCGTTGGTTCGCATTTGTTTGTAAACTTCTTGACTGGCCGACTTGTGTGCACATTTGGAAGTGTTTACATTGCAGTCTTCGGGTGTAGGCCTTCTCTGTTGCGGTCTGTTTTGGTTTGCCGCCCTGGTGCAGTGCCGTGTGTTGCCACCGCATTAATTTGCTTGTTGGCATTGTCGGAGTAAACAACTTCTTCGTTGATGTGCTTGTGTGGTTGTTGGTCCTACTGCAAACGTTTGTTTGTTCTTATTCCATGGAGAAGAAACACGACAGCGCACCATCACCACTTTTCCTGCGCACGTGCAGGCAACCCCCCTGACCACAAAGAAGGAATTGGCCGGGACTCCTGAGATTTGGTGTCTCGAGGTAAACGGTCGCGCCAGACCGGCAAGGAAACAGACAAGCGCCAGACCGGTGTTGACATGTTAGCATCGTTCGAGCTTGGTGTGCAGCTCGTCTGAGGTAGTCCTCACTGCCTTTGAGAACGAGCTTGGTGTCCAGGCACCAGTGGGCTTCTGGGACCCTGCCGGTTTTACCGCGGACGGCAGCGTTGAGGACTTCAAGCGACGTCGTCAGACAGAGCTCAAGCACGGAAGGATCTCCATGCTCGCAACTATGGGCTATATTACTCCAGAGACACTCGT